CCCCGTATCCACGTCTGTGGGAGGTGAGGGGCGCCGGGAACCCCCGTATCCAGGCCTGAGGGAGGTGAGGGGCATCAGGGACCCCCGTATCCACGTCTGTGGGAGGTGAGGGTGCCGGGAACCCCCGTATCCACGTCTGTGGGAGGTGAGGGGCGCCGGGGACCCCATATCCATGCCTGTGGAAGGTGAGGGGCGCCAGGGACCCCCGTATCCACGCCTGCGGGAGGTGAGGGGTGCTGGGGACCCCCGTATCCACACCTGTGGGAGGTGAGGGGCGCTGGGGACCCCCGTATCCAGGCCTGAGGGAGGTGAGGGGCGTCAGGGACCCCCGTATCCACACCTGTGGGAGGTGAGGGGTGCCGGGGACCCCCGTATCCACACCTGTGGGAGGTGAGGGGCATCAGGGACCCCCGTAGCTATGCCTGCAGGAGGTGAGGGGTGCCGGGGACCCCGTATTGCCTGCAGGGGCAAGGCCCCCATCCTTCTGCTCCCGACATCACCCCCCATGCCCCTGCACCTACATCGTCTCCTTTACTCCTTAGATGTTTACATGAGGAAAGGACATTGAGTCCATTTCACAGATGAAAAGATGGAGGCTCTGAAAGGTTGATCTGCCCAAGAGGACACAGCCCGTGTGTCGGGCGAGAGTTTAAACCTGGCCCGGCCTCCTCTCGGGACAGGGGCCCGTGACCCCGACAGCCTTCCCATCCTGGCGTGAAGACAGAGATGGCTCAGACACCCGTCCTGCTGGGCCACTGAGGCGGAGGGCTGGCCTGCCAGGCCCAGTTGTCGCTCTTTGCCACCGTGGGCCCCAGGTGGGGAGCCTCACAGGCCAATCCCATCAAACGTAGGTTTGATCCCCCAGAGCAGTGCAGGGACCGGTGCTGACTGGGCTCCAGCCCTGACTTCCTCCCCCAGCCTTGCAGGGCTCAGGTCCAGAGGACACCTGACCACGAGTTTAACTTGCGGATGGTCACTTGCCTCGTGTGGTGATGCCACGATGCCCTCTCTGTGCAGTGCAGAGTCCTCGCCCGCCTACTATGAGTTCATCGGCGTCCGCGGCTGCCAGGACGTGCTGCACCTGTACCGCCTGCTCTGGGCCTCTGCGGTTCTGAACGTCCTGGGCCTGTTCCTGGGCATCATCACCGCTGCCGTCCTGGGGGCCTTCAAAGACATGGTGAGGCCCCTCGGCGGGACCCCCACTGCTCACCGGGAGCCGGGCTCCGGGTCCATTTCCCCAGGGTGGGCTGGGGGATCCCTGGCCCTCACTTTACAGATGGGGCACTGAGGCCCATGTGTCTGCCGGCGGCGTGTCAGGGTGACAGCTGGTGTGCACCGACTCACCTTGGGGCCGTCCTGTCCCAAGCCTGTCCCAAGAATCACCTGATTTAATCCTTGCCTCCCTGCTGAGATGGGCACAACCCACCCCTGAGAAACAAAGTTCAGCTCCCAAGAAGGAGGCCCAGCCCTCGTGCACTAAGCTCCCCTCGTTAGCAACTGCCTGGGGCTTCAGACCGGCAGGTCTGCGCTGGGGCCGGGGCCAGTGCCTTCACAGACCCCAGAGGCGAGACCCATACGGCCTGGGCAGGAGGAGGGGGGGACGGGGCCCCTCAAAGGCGTTGGGCTGGACCTGTCCTGGAAAGGCCGGCCCTCGCCCGCCCAGGAAACCACAGGGAAATCACTGGCCTGGGCTGGCTGTCCTCTCCCTTCTCCCTCCTCTGCCCTCTCCTGGCACCTGTTTCGAACCAGATGTTCTGGTGGTGTGTGGCCAGCAAACCCGCCCCTGAACTCGCAGAGAAGCTGCAAGGGAGGGGCAGCCAGGAGTGAGGGAGCCCCACCCTGAGAACATCCAAACAGCAACCCAGGGACGAAGGGCATCCCCTCTTGCACCCACGCGAGGTGGCCGGGCAGCACCAGGCAGACGCACATCCTGCAGGCCAGACCCGGCCCAGTGTGGCAGTGACAGCACTCCTGAGTGGCTTCTCCATGCCCCATTCATCCCAGAGACTGCCCGTAACTAAAAAGTAACTCAGCTTGGAACCCTCCTGCCATCTGCTTCTCAGCTTCTCCTTTTCTCAGCACTTTCGTGCTTCCAGACAAAACTGGTGAAGCTGAGAGTGACCTTGGCATCCCGAGGTCCAGCCCTCTGGCTCCCCACCCAGTGGCCCACCAAGCCCCACCCTGGGCCCCCTGACGCCCGCACACCAACACAAGACAGGCACCTCCCAGGGTCCTTGCTCTGCAGTGACAGCTGGCCAGCCCCTGTGGGCTGGGGCCGGGTGAGAGCGGGAGTCTGGGGTTGGGAAGGGTCTCTGCCGGGGATCGTGCAGCCTCTGGGTGCCTTTGGTGTCTCCTCGGTTCAGGCTTCTCTGCCTCGGCGACTCAGTGTCTCCCCTCAGTGGCTGCCCTAGGAAGAACTGCAGCTGGATTGTAGACAGGACACAGAAACGCGCATGTGGTGCAGGCGCCATGCTCGCCGCACAGGCCCGGGGTTTCCAGGGTTTTCCGGAAGTGGCTCGTGTGTTCATTAAAGCCGGTGATAAAATGCGGGAGTGCGGGATCAGGAACAGGAGATGCCCCAAGGGCCAGCCCACAACGCAGAGCCACCCCCAGCTCCGGGAAATCTTTCTCAAACCCAGAGCTCAGGGGTGTGCAGAGCAAGGAGGGGGCTTGCTAACCTTCACACCCACCAAGCAGGCACTCTTGTGAGTTTAATTGATTCTGCCGTTTAAACATTTTGTTAAGGAACGAAGATGCTTCCTTAGCCGTCACCAAGCGGGACGGCCCTTCTCCGTAGACGAGGGCAAATTCCTTGTGACGGGTGCGTGGGAGGTGCTTAACCTGCCGGCAAGGGCAGGCGGCTGAGCCAGCCTCTTGGGCCTCCTCCACGTGTGACTCCGTGGCCTCCTCCACGTGTGACTCCGTGGCCCCCGTGTTCTCTGGTTTCTGTGCACTTGCCCTGGCCCCATCCTCAGGCCACCCCCAGCTCAGAGGCCTCCCCACCCCTCTACCTGTCAGAACCTCAAATCTCCTGCTCCTCCCTCATGGAGCACGGACCCTCCATGCCCATCCACCTCCCAGGCCCACCTCAGCTACCTCCCTGCTCTCTGCAGGGTCTGAGGCAGAACCACGGCCTCCTGCACATGTAGACCAAGGACCAGCTGCCCAGAAGCCCCTGCCCCTTCCCACCCTCCAGCGCCCACTGGGCAGGGGGCTCCCTCCCAGCCTCAGGGGTACGGGCAGCACTGTTTTCTATTTGAGGACACCTCAGGCCTGGGGTCATCACCGTGGCCCGGGGCCGTCACTGTGGCCAGACCCTTGCAGCAGTTCCGGCCTGGCTTCCCCCCAGGGTGCTGCTGAACCCGGGGTTGAGGGCTGGGGGCTGGGGAAGGTGGAGGGGCACCTGTGTGAAGGTGGGGAGGGAGGCGAGGCCTGGGTGCCCTCGGCCCAGTCCCCGTGTTTCTGGCCCTGGAAGCCCTGGAGCTTGTGTGAGCCGTGGGCCCCTCCCTCTGCGGGGGATGAGGCCGGCGGGGGCCTGAGTTGGAGCTGGCACCTTCTTTGGAGAATTTTAACTGCCTGAGTGGGTCAGTGGAAGTGTGGATGGGAGCTTAGAAGGCTTTGGTTTTGTTTGCATTCCCCAGAAACCCCGCGCTGGTCGGGTGAGAGCTTGGGGAAGCGAGAGCTGTCAGCCCGATGCTGAGAGGACCTTCCTCACCTGCACCCTTCTGTGCCGAAAAATCAGACTCTGGGGCCCGGACAGAAGGAAACCAGTGCTATTTTTCCCCAAAAAATATTAAGTAAAAAAGAGCCTGAGCCAAGCAGTCACCCGGTGTGACTGGCGGGTGGCAGGGCCCTGGGAACAAGATGTAGAGAACCTGAGTATAAAGACACGCTCGGCTGGGGTTATCTCCAGCCTGGGTATAAATGCACACCGGGCCGGGGTTAGCTCCAGCCCGAGAGGCGGGGTCAGGGGTGCTGGGCTTTCTAGGAAGGCTGGACGGCCTCTCCCTCCACTGGGGGGTGCACATTGACCGCCTGTCTCTTCTCCGTGGCAGGTGCCTCTGTCTCAGCTGGCTTACGGCCCAGCCGTCCCACCACAGACCCTCTATAACCCTGCCCAGCAGATCCTGGCCTGTGCAGGCTTCCGCCCGACGCCCGAGCCCGTCCCGACCTGCTCGTCCTACCCTCTGCCCCTTCAGGTACGGCCAGCGTCACCTGCTGGAGTTGAACGTGCTGGTTGCAGGCAGTGGGGTGGACAGGACAGGGCTGGGGTCAGAGGGGATGAGGTCTTGCAGCCGCCTCACCTTCTGAATTAGGGATGGGAGGTGGGGGGCAGTAACAACCCGGCCGTTGGGGCACAACGTCCCTGCAAGTATGGCCGGGGACTGCACCAGGTGGCCCTGGTGACCTGCCACCATGCTCTGCCGGCAGCTGGCTCTTCTGACCCCGGGACTGGCCCTGCACAGGCCTGGGCAGCTCCCACTGCAGTGTGGAGGCTCCTGTGTGTCTGCTGGTGGACGTCCTGGGGGCACAGCCAGGTTATTTAGGTGGAGCCATATGGATCTGCCGGAATCCAACCCCATTTTACCTGTAGACGTGGAGACCTCATAGGGTTCATCCTGACATGATGCTGTTGACCTTGGGGACAACGGAGGGAGAGGCCATGGTGGCAGGCGAGCAGAACAGTGGCCTCTACCTGCCTGTCCCATTTCCACTCCTGGGCATGACCGCCTTCTGTGCCACGAAGCTCTGTCCGGTGGCCACGGGTGAAACAGACCCCGATAATCCAGCATCACTACAACGACCAGGCCGTGTTTCTTACCTCGGCACTGCAGGCATTCAGGGTTGGCCACCTGCCATGCTGGGGCACCCTGGGTGCTGGGGGTGCTGGCAGGCCCTGGCCTCTGCCTGCAGCATGTAGCAGCCGCTAGTGTCACAACCCAAACTGTCTCCAGACGTGCCCTGTGCCTCCTGCCTGGATGTGCCACGTTCCCCCTGGGGACACATTTGAGAATCCCTGGTCCTGATAAACCTGGGTTTCCTTTCTGGGTGGGAGGCACGGCCCACACGCCTGGCTGACTGGCAGGTCATTTTGCGTGCGTTAACAGCAGCCTCTGCAGAGAAAGCTGTGTCAGGCCCAGCCCGACGAAGCTGCAGATCGAAGCACCACCGTGATGTGTTTCTGTGCGGGGAAGGGCAGGGTGAACGTGGAGGGTCGTTAGTTCTGAAGTCACGCATGACACAGATCTTCGGATGTTCCGCAAGGAGACCTGCTCCCAACCCATGACGTTGGCAGGAAGAGACATTCCTCAGAGTGACGTCCGGGGGAGGCGTGTACACACCCCACCCTCACGTCCAGGACAGGGCTCAGGTTTGAGCTGGACCCGAGAGCCACGACCTTCTCAGCTCACCCCGGGGACCTGCGCCAGGGACCCCGTGGAGGGAGCGGGAACCGGCACTCATGGAGAGGGGGCTGCTGGGGGCCCCTGGCGTCCAGGGCCTGCTTGGGGCAGCCGCCTTCAGTCCTGCCCAGGGCACGGCAGCTTTTGGGCTCAGTGGGGACAACCAGGGCCCCAGCCTGACACCATCTCCTCGTGGAGGGATCCCTGCACCCCGTGCCTCAGTCTTCTCTCTCACTTTGCATATGAAGCTGGGGCTCTGCTCCCTGGGAACACAAGGCCCCTGCCGGAGGTCTGGCTTGGAAGTATCTTTTCCATTTCTGTGATGGGGAAGATGTGGTCCCCAGGGTCAGAAGATGGCGGGAGCTTTTGCCAGTGACCCTGCGGTGGTCTCTCCTGTGGGCAGGCGCGTCTGCATGGTGCTACAGGCAGCTTCATCCTCCCCCAAGCCTCCTGCCCCTGCCCCTGCCCCAGGGACGTCCCCATCACGGCAGGGACCATGTCCCCCGGGGCCACAGCCTTGTCCTGGGGGCTTCTCTCTGGCCTCCTGGTCTCCTGTGGGAAGTTTGCCAAGCCCAGAGCTGGAGGCCCGCAGGGGCAGGGGTATCTCCAGGGACACTGGGCTGGCAGGTGCTCCCCAAGCGGCTCTGCACAGACCTGGACTTGGAATCGCATAGGTGCCAAGAACTTGCAGCCCAGAGCACAGCCTGGGTGGCCCAGCCTGTCTTCCATCCTCAACCTCAGCCGCCACCCCTTGGGGCCCCAGAGGAGAGAGAATGCGTGGTTCCATCAGCCGCTTCCTCTTGTCTGGCTCCAGGGCTGGTTTGGGCTGCCCTGGTGCTGGGGCCCGGCTGTCTGAAGCTCTGGCTGTGAGGGGCCAGGCTTCAAGTTTGCATTCTGACTTGGGACCTTGGAGACAGCGAGGCTTTGTGGGGGGAAGGGGTGGTGCATCCTCCCTGCCTGTGAGCCCCACGGAGGTGTCAGATGTGGGGGCGGTCCTCCCCGTCACACGCGGGCTTACGGGATGTGGGGGGTGGTCCTCCCCATCACACGCAGGCTTACGGGATGTGGGGGGCGGTCCTCCCCATCACACG